TTTATTAATTTTTTTATTTTATTTTTATTTTTTAAAATTTACATCCAAATTAGCATATAGTGAAACAATGATTTCAGGAGTAGATTCCTTAATGCCCCTTACCCATTTAGCCCATCCCCCTCCCTCACAACCCCTCCAGCAACCCTCAGTTTGTTCTCCATATTTATGAGTCTCTTCTGTTTTGTCCCCCTTGCTGTTTTTATATTATTTTTGTTTTCCTTCCCTTATGTTCATCTGTTTCATCTCTTAAAGTCCTCATGTGAGTGAAGTCGTATGATTTTTGTCTTTCTCTGACTAATTTCACTTAGCATGACACCCTCCAGTTCCATCCACGTCGTTGCAAATGGCAAGATTTCATTCTTTTTGATTGCCAAGTAATACTCTATTGTGTATGTATATACCACATCTTCTTTATCCATTCATCCATCGATGGACATTTGGGCTCTTTCCATACTTTGGCTATTGTTGATAGTGCTGCTATAAACATGGGGGTGCATGTGTCCCTTGGTAATAGCACACCTGTATCTTGGATAATTGGATAAATGTATCTTGCTTTTATCGATACCTATTTTAAAATTCATTTTGCTTTTATTTAAATTGTCCATTAAAGTGTTTGGTTATGAAGCACATAATGATTGATACACCATCAAAAGATTCTTAATATTCCCTGATAAACTACTATATGGTTTTTTTGATGGATAGTTTCATGGTATCTGCAGTTGGTTAAAGAAACCTTTATCATCATTAACGTTTCCAAAGCCTTCTGAGCCTGTTGCTATGTTGTTTTCAACCATGTCTCTGAGATAACATGGTCTATCTTATTCCTACCTTTTCTCCGAACTAGCACCAATTCAGTATTATGGACCTCCTTGTTTCCTTAATTATCTCCGTACTCTCAAGCCTAGGACAAATATTTATTAAATAATACTATTTACTTTTTTGTTTTCAGCTTACTTTTTTTTTTTCAGTCTTTTCTGTACTTCTTATTCTCTGTCTTCAAGAATACATGCACTCTCCCTGATCCTGAAAAGTTCTGTTGCTTTGCTGTACCTGTCCTTTAAAATGTCATCTTATTTTGCTTTGTGGTGCCCACACTGCAGTTTGGATCTGCACTCATTGCCTCAATTCCCTTATTTTTCATTGTCATGGATAGGCAGGGAGACCGGGAGTGGGTGTAATTCTTGCAAGCAAAAAATCATTACAGCCATTTTGTACCAGCCCCATAGAAGTGCCCATAATCTGTCCCCACAAAAGGAATAGACTTTAGTGTAGAGAACAGGACTATAGCAAGAATATAAGGACGCTTCCTTTTTCACACAGGCAAAAGTTACAACAATTAACAATCTCTCTGAAGTAGAGAAAAGCTAATAGATGGAAAGCAGTGGACTTCAAGGAATCCCTATAATTAAGGAAAAGAAGAAGGATAGTGAGTTATAGATAATGGGAAGGGTTTAGGATTCCTTAACTTTTAGTATGTCAAAGTCAAAAAAACTTGCAAAAGCCCCCTGCCTCCACCCAAAGGCCACTCATTGACTCTAGGTTAAGAATCTAGTCTTTGTAGTTGTTTTGTGGAATTTACTTACTCTCCCCTCTGTCTTTGGATATGGCAAAACCTCCAGGATCCCACAGCTTCTCTTTTTCTTGTTTCCTTATTTTCTTCACTTTTCTCCTTTCTTTTCATTAGTTACCCCTCTCTCCCTACCCTAGACCCAAATGGCTGTCTACTACCTAAGGAAAAAGAGGTTGCTTTTTTCAAGCCCTGTGTGTGTGTGTGTGTGTGTGTGTGTGTGTGTGTG